TCTGTTCAGGCGCAGGTTCCCTCGCCTCCATGGCTCAGGAAAACACTGGTACTAGGCCACCAGGGAGCCAGGGATGCCCCCAGGGCAAGTAGGGCTCTCACAATTGCTTACTTGTGTTTTCTCCTACGGATTCCTTACATACCAGTCAAGGTCAGACATGCATTAAAAAAGATTATCTTCACATTTCATCGAGTTAATTTTTTAAAATAAAATTTTATTTATTGATTTGAGAGAGAGAGAGAGAGAGAGAGAGAGAGAGAGTGAGAGAGAGAAACATCGATTTGTTGTTCCAGCTTATATATGCATTCATTGGTTGTGGCTTGTAAGTGCCCTGAGCGGGGGATTGAACATGCAACCTTGGCGTATTAGGACGATGTTCTAACCAACTGAGCTACCCAGCCAGGACCTTTTTTATTTTTTAAGTTCAGCTATACTAGCTTTTCTGTGGATAGTTAGTATGTCTTTTTTCATAAACAGAATATCTTTTTGAAAATTCACATTTCAAATATATATAATGCTAAATCTCAGGAAAAAAGCTAATTTATTGAGATACATTTTCAGTGCATCTAACACATTTTGGAGAGAACTCAGCCGCCATTCATTTTTTTGTTATTCATTTGTTTATTCATTATTGTTTGAACATGTATCTGGATTCTCTGGGGGGGGGGGGGGGGGGGGGGGAGGAGAAACATGCAATTTCTGCTCTTCCAGGGAATAATTTCTGCTCTTCTCAGGGTTATTTGTTTCCTCCTTCCTGGTATGGGGTATCCGCCCAGCACTTGGAGCGCCATGTTCAGCACTTGGGGAACATGCTCGAGGAAATCTGGAATATACAATGAGTAACTTGATGCAGCCTACATTATACTGCTGCCTATTGACTGGCCTGACGCCCGGGGCTTTGGAACTGACTCACTGGTCACAGTCACTCTGCACACCTCCCGTGATTCATCTATACTTTCACCACCCGCTGTGGACCGGGATTCAGACCAGGAGCTTGGCAGCCACAAGCTACAGAAACTCGTCCTGACACCTGCTGGTGGTCAGGGAGCCTTCACCTGCGGAAGGAGGGAACTTTGTCTACGCTTCCCACTTTGAAAGCTCAACAAACCTTTACTGTTTCACACTTTGTTTCTGATTTTGGAAATAATTGTATGGATACGAAGATGAAACAGAGGCAGTTACTGCTCTGGAGGAACTTATAATATCAGGGCATGCCCTTTCGCAGGGGAAGAGAACGGGACATACTGATGATTTAAATACACTGGGTAGGTGTTATGATGTGTGGGAAACAATAGGAAGTACATACTGGTCTCTGCCCCTAGTTCCTGGTGCAGAGCTCCCAAAATGCTTGCAATTTCTCACGTGGTGAGAGCACTAGGAGCATCTTGTGTTCTAAGGAGGCAACTCTGGATGGGCTCCCGGAGTGCTCCTGGCTGGGCACTGGTCAGCAGAAAGACCAAGCCATGATTCGAGTTTGGAATTTTCAGCCCCACCCCCAGCTCTCTAGGGAGGTCATGCCTATGTGAAGAAGCCTCCGTAAAATCCCAGTCATGGGGTTTGGAGAGCTCCCAGGTGAACACACCCACATGGTGGGAGGGTGACACACCCCACTCCACGGGGACGGATGCTCCTGTGCTTGGGACCCTCCCAGACTTCTGCCTGTTCATCTGTATCCTTTATCGTATCATTTAATTAACTGGTAAACGGGTGACCCTGAGGTCCCTGGGCAACTCTAGCAAATTCACCGGACCCTGAGGGGAACATGGGAACCTCTGATTTGCACTCAAGTTGGACAGAAGTGGAGAGAGAGGAAGGGAGAGGGACAGAGAGGTAGAAACATTGGTAGGACCATTGTCAGCTGCCTCCTGCATGCCCCCCACTGGGTACCGAGCCTGCAAACCAGGCACGTACCTTGACTGGGACTCGAACCAGTGACCTCTTGGTCCATGTGTGGACACTTAAACACTGGGCCACACCGGCCAGGGAAGTTTTTAGGGAAGGGAAATGAATTGGCCCTGAGGCAAATGTCCTTCTTCTCTGGTCCAATCACTGTGACCAACGCTGCTGACAGAATACATAGGTATTGGGACAGCCCAAGTCCCAAGGGGTGTGTGTGTGCGGGGAGGAGCTGTTCTCAGAGAAACGGGGCTGTGGTGAGCTGAAAGGGTACCTGGTCCTTGTCTTTCTGTGGCACCCAAACCTGAATCACACCTACCGCCCTTCAGTGCTCTTTGAGCAGCTGAGAGGGGCCGGAGAAAAAAAGCCACACAAACATTTGTAGAAATTTTAATGGAAACATCCAAATCTGAAAAGACCCCTGAAGCCTCATGATGGGCGGGGCAGGGGGCATAAGGTGGGGGTAGCATTGCAGAGAGGACTGATTGGCTGGCCCTAAAGAAGCTTGACCTTGGGGAAGTCACCGCAGACCAGGGGCAGGCTCTGAATTTTGCAAGCTTAGAAACATGAGCTGGTCGATATCTCAGAACCAATGTGATTTGTGGGTACTGATTCACATGTATGAGCTTCGCGAGCCACTGAGGTAGAGTTCCTAAATAAGGATTTATTAATTTACAGACAATATTCCCATCAGCCCTCCTCAGATCTGTTTTGTAAATACCTTTTTTCTTCTTCAGTTTGAGACATAGTTTAATAATTATTTTAAAATTCACTTTAAGATAAACATTCTCCGCTTTCTCTTTGTCTGATGTTTCCTCCTGATTCCGTTCACATCACACTTTCCGAATCGGAATGCCCCTTAGGAGATGGCATGTCCTTCTCCAGGCCACACCTCGGGAGGCACACGATGTCCGATGTCCATCGCCCTTATTGGTATTCGTTTTCCTCACCCAGTCCAGGTGGTGTTTGGTTTCTCCACTCTGTAACTACCACTTCCCCCTACATTTACTGGGTCCTCGAACTTGCTTTTGGAACCAGCATTTTAGATTTTTTGCCATGTCCCCGGCAAGGTGAGGAACCACTCCAGGACTTGCAACACTACAAGTAATTGCTACTTCCCGTGAAGGGAGCGTTCATAATTGTAAATACCTTTTTGAACCCCACCTCAAGGCTACACTCTGTGCCTGGTGCTGGGGACACACAGACAATAGGACACAGGTGTTGTTCTCTAAGAGCTCCCTAACTTACGTGTGTCAGGTGTGGGCAGACACCTTCACTTTCTGAAATTACACAGCTTAGGGAGTCAAATCACAGGAGGAAGCATCTTGTTGCGGATAAAATGAGAACAAGGGAGGTTGGCTGGAGGGTGGGGATGGACGGTTGTACCTCTGACAGCCTGGGTACAGGTGGATAGCAGGTAACAATGTGGTTATTGGTGTGGTTATTTACCTTGCAGGCCTCAGCGATCTAGCTGAAACTCTGTGTCCCTTGTTAAAAACCTTTCTGTAACTCTCCAGTACCTGTAGGATAAAGCCCAAGTCCTTTAGCAAAGCTCACAAAGCCCTCCCTGAGCTCCTTGCTGACGATTCAGACTTCTTTTTTTTTTTTAAATATATTTTATTGATTTTTTACAGAGAGGAAGGGAGAGAGATAGTTAGAAACATCGATGAGAGAGAAACATCGATCAGCTGCCTCCTGCGCATCTCCCACTGGGGATGTGCCCGCAACCCAGGTACATGCCCTTGACCGGAATTGAACCTGGGATCCTTCAGTCCGCAGGCCGATGCTCTATCCACTGAGCCAAACCGGTTTCGGTGATTCAGACTTCTAATAGTTGCTGCCAGAGTCTGTCCAGGTGCCTGACCTGTTCAGTCTGCGCATGCTTCTCTTTCCCCTTAGAGCCGCGTAGAACTCCTATTCACCCTTCAAAACCCCAGCACCCGGCACGGAGTGTAGCCTTGAGGTGGGGTTCAAAAAGGTATTTACAATTATGAACGCTCCCTTCACGGGAAGTAGCAATTACTTGTAGTGTTGCAAGTCCTGGAGTGGTTCCTTACCTTGCCGGGGACATGGCAAAAAATCTAAAATGCTGGTTCCAAAAGCAAGTCCGAGGACCCAGTAAATGTAGGGTAGGGGGAAGTGGTAGTTACAGAGTGGAGAAACCAAACACCACCTGGACTGGGTGAGGAAAACGAATACCAATAAGGGTGATGGACATCGGACATCGTGTGCCTCCCGAGGTGTGCCCTGGCCGGCTTGGCTCAGTGGATAGAGCGTCAGCCTGCGGACTGAAGGGTCCCGGGTTCGATTCTGACCAAGGGCACATGCCTGGGTTTTGGGCTCAGTCCCCAGTGGGGGGCGTGCAGGAGTAGCCAATCAATGATTCTCTCTCATCATTGATGTTTCTATCTCTCTCTCTCCTCCCTTCCTCTTTGAAACCAATAAAGAAATATATTTAAAAAAAAAACAAAACCCACCTTGTTATCTCCTCTAAGAGCTTTCCCAGAACCTCCCACAAGGGATGAACCTCTGGATTCCTGATGCCTGGATTTGGGGCAGCATCTACACAAATACTTCATTCTTCTCTTCCTAGCAGAGCAGCAATTTTCAACCTGTGTGCCCCAAGAATTTGTACAACATGCAGTACTTAAACTATTTAGTCGGGGGCACTGACCTCTTTTCCCTTTGATTGTCAAATTAAAACAACAACCAACCAACCAACACAACAATAGCCATCCGAAGTGAATGAATCAAAATTATATCTTTTTTTTTTTTTTTTTTTTTTTGCCAGGTCAGCAACAAATATACTTTTCGGTGTGCCGCAGAATTTACTAATTAGTTATGTGTGCCAGGAGATGAGAAAGGTTGAAAATCACTGTATAGATCACCTTGTTAATCCACCTCTTTCTTCATCCTAGGGCTTAGCACAGGTGAGTTATTCTCAAAATGCACTGAATGAATAATCAGAAGTTGGCAGACATTTCACCAGCGCCCAGGGTACAACCAGTTTAGTGGAGAGTGCCTGGGGCTTGTGACTAAACCCCCGCTGGGAGTCATCAAGTCACCCACCCAGGGACGCCCTGCCGGGCCTGGCTTTCCTCCGGGGCAGGGACACAGTAGTGGAGACCACCTGGCTAAGGTCTTTCCCTGGAGAGCTGAGAACGGACGGCAGGAGGACAGGGCTGGGAGGAATGGAGTTCAGGGTCAGGGCCACGGAGAAAGAGCAGAGAGGCTGGCACGGTCCGTGGCTCGGTGCCAGGCAGGCGAGGGGGAGGACTCATTCATCCAGGGCCAGCCCAGGAGTGGGACTGCGGAGCTGGCTGGTCGGCTCCGGCCCAGGCTCAAGACTGGGAGGGGATTTCCTCAGGCTCCCTCCCCCGGTGCGGCTGCTGGAACCTGCCCCACGCAGTTAGTGACGGGAGGGGCCGGGGAGCGCCATCAGGCAACAGCTTCAGGGCAGCAGAGGAGCCCCTTGGCCCAGGACGCCTGGAACGCGGGGTGCAGCCGGTCCTGCCTGGGCGCCCCCGGGCCTCCCGAGGGAAGGAGGTAAGCGGCGGGAACCGGGAGGCGGTGGGGGAGTCCTTCCTTGGGGCCATGGGGTGGGGGGTGGGGGATGAAGGCAGGAAGCATAGGGGCGGGGGTGGCGGGAAGGAGACCGAGCGTGTTCCCTTGGCAGCCTCCCTTCCGGAGCAGCCTCCAGGAGTGGCCGTCTGGGATCTTGCAACTTTCTTTTTGGAGTTGGCAGTATGATTGGCCAGGAGTCAGGGGGCCGTTTCTTGGCTTCTCCCTGGGACTGGGGGGACTTGGTGGGAGTGCCAGGTGACGCTGTTGCCCTTCTCCGCCCGGTCAGTCATTATCTCCCCCCTCATCACATTCTCCCAGGCACACCCCCACCGCCCTCTTGCCTCCAAGTTTTATTCTCCCTGCAGCTCAGCCAGGTCTCGCCCTCCTGCCCGCTGCCCCTGCCCTGGGCGCTGGAGACCACAGCCAGGGGAGACAGCCTCTGGCTTCCTCCTGCAGGGCACCTCGCTCAGGGTTATTTGTTTCCTCCTTCCTGGTATGGGGTATCCTCCGCCCATTCATTTTTTTTTAATATATATATATATTTATTGATTTCAGAGAGGAAGGGAGAGGGAGAGATAGAAACATCAATGATGAGAAAGAACCATAATTAGCTGCCTCCTGCACGCCCCCCAGGGGCATGTGCCCTTGACCGGAATCGAACCAGGGACCTTTCAATCCACAGGCCGACGCTCTATCCACTGAGCCAAACCAGCTAGGGCCGCCCATTCATTTCTTGTTATTCATTTGTTTATTCATCATTGTTTGAACATGTATCCGGATTCTCTGGGGGGTCGGGGCGGGGGGCGAGGGGGGGGGGAGAAACATACAATTTCTGCTCTTCCAGGGAATAAGAAAGCAGAAATTTATTTCACAGACATGTAAGGATCATTTATAAGCTGGTGGGCAATGTGGCACCGAGGAAAATTATTTTGGCATCGTAGACACACTTGGCTTCCTGTCCCACCTCTCCTGTGCTCGTCCTGAGCCTCAGTTTCCCCATCAGGAAAATGGTATTGCTCTGAAGATGACAGGAGACAGGGCATGTCAAGCACCCCCCTGGTGCCAGGCACACAGTGAGCCTCAATAGACATCTGTGCTCTTTCCTTCTTCTTTGGCCCCTTTCCTGCCACCTCCCCTAACCGCCACCCCCACCCACCTTTCTAGGCTTGTAAAGAAGTATAAGAACCTCTGGCCTTGAAAGCACTTGAAGGTAAACACAGAACTGGGCGGTGAAGGGAAGGAGGCCAAGATGGTGTGGGGGTTGGGCTGAATAGGGAAGGTGTCTCCCGTCTCCTGGGTTTGAGGTAAGAATGCTGGACCAGGGATGGAACGTGGCGCTGGAGGGAGACGTTATCCCCAGCAGGCTCTCCTGCTGTGTTTCTGAATCTGGCATTCACACTGAGCAAGTAATGGGAGCTACTCGAGTTCCTGAAACCAACTCTGCTTTTAAATGTCCTGTCTCTCACCCTAACCAGTTTGGCTCAGTGGATGGAGCGTCGGCCTGCGGAGTCAGGGGTCCCAGGTTCGATTCCGGTCAAGGGCATGTGCCTTGGTTGCGGGCACATCCCCAATGGGGGGCGTGCAAGAGGCGGCTGATCGATGTTTCTAACTCTCTGTCCCTCTCCCTTCCTCTCTGTAGAAAATCAATAAAATATATTAAAAAAAAAAAAAGTTCTGTCTCACTTAACCATGACATGTTGTGATATTGTTAAAATGAAAATACTAACAGGTTTAAGGATTTGCCTAAGGCAGCGGTTCTCAACCTGTGGGTCGCACGACCCTTTCACAGGGGTCGCCTAAGACCATTGGAAAACACATATATAATTACATATGGTTTTTGTGATTAATCACTATGCTTTAATTACATTCAATTTGTAACAATGAAATTGGGGGTCACCACAACATGAGGAACTGTATTAAAGGGTCGCGGCATTAGGAAGGTTGAGAACCACTGGCCTAGGGTCACATGGCTAATCAGTTTCTCTGTATCAGAGAGAACAAAAGGACATCATCGGTCCCCAACATCCTAGACACCAGCTTCTCCCTTCCTGTACACCCCCTGCTCTAGACTTTCCATCCAGGTGGGGAGGAGCACACTCCTTCCCTGGTTCATTCATTCATTCACTCATTCATACATCATTCATTCCATCAAGTGCACTCTTGCTCCCAAGAAGGCAGGGGCAGTGTCTGTTGGTTCACAGTTGTATAACCAGCAACTTGTATGTCCCTGATACAGAAATATTTGATGAGTCCTCTGTGAGTAAATGAGTCCAGCAAACATTTATTGATGCATTCCAGGGGCTCCATGATAGGGATTTGAAGATGAATAAAACGGAAGTCCTATCCTCAGGGTACTTACAGCCTTGCAGAGGAGATGGTGGTAATATACAGAAGACAGGAATAGAGGTTGTTGAAGGAACGAAGAGGGGCATTTAATTCTACCGTGTCTGCTTTGTTCCCAACTGGATCCAGGGCCTAGCCTAGCACAATGGCAGGCACATAGTAGAAGCTCAATACAGTTTTGCAGAGGAGGTGTTTAGGACAATCTTGAAGGGATGTTAAAACTTCACTCGGAAAACCAATTGGGGAGGGAGAATATTCTACGGAGGGAGATGCTCACGAAAAGGCCTAGTGGAGGGAGGGAGCTGCAATTGCTGGGGGCTCAATATGGCTGAAGTAGGGTGTGTAGGGAGGAATGGCAAGAAATGAGTGAATACATAGGCAGGGCTCAGTCATGAGGCCCTTGTGTGTCTTGTTAAGGAACCTCAGTTTCATACCAAGAGCGCTGGGTAATTAGTGAAGAGATTTAGCAAAGTGAGGACATCATTTGAGTTGTATTTCAGAAGTATGGCTTATGCATGGGGGTCTCTGGGCCTGATGGGGTTCCTACCCGTCTGAGGAAACAAGTCTTCATTGTTAGGACTTCATGATGTTCAAGAAGGGACTCCTGACTTGTCCTGTGTCCTGATCTATGGGTGCTTTGCCCTCAGCTGTACACTGGGTTACAGCTAATCTGTTCTTCCTAATAAAAAGTACTGAAATTTATGAATGATTTACACTTGTATAATCTTGAGCAAATTCAGGGAAATACTGCTTGCTAACTTGCAATCCTTTATGTTTTTTTGGGGGGTTGTCAGTGATCTTTAATTGAAATATGTTCCTTTGGGGGTCTTAACTGGACATTCCACTGCACCACTGTTGATTTATTTATGATGTCATGAGGGTGGCAGCCGTCAACATTGCAGCCCACAGACTGGTTAGCCCCCAGGATCTCTTTAAATGGTTCCAGAAAGTTCTCTAGCCAAAGATCGGTGCTGTATCTGTTGGGCAATGCTGACAATCTCACCAAAAGTGATTATTTCCACGGTGCTGAATGTGTGTTTTTCTTCCTTCTGTCTCTTGGCAGTTCTTTGAGGGCTTTGATGATTAGGGCGGAGGCAGAAGGTACAACGCCAATCTGGGCCTGTCTGTACTGCATGGTTAGTTTCACTGTAATCTTTAGACCCTTCCAATCACTGGTTGCTTTGGTGATGTCATCACCAAACTTTTTTGGAGTCAGGCCTAGGGGACCAGTCTTGGGGGCTACCACTCCCCCACTGGTTCACCTCAGGTATATGACTTTGATCTCCTTGGGTGGCATGGTGACCGGTCAGATGAATCCAGATTCAGGAGGATCAAAGAAAGTTTTGCCTAAGCCTCCACCAAGTCAAAAGCCCAAAGGCAAAAGCTGTGCTTTCTGATGTAAAAGAGGTGGAGTTGTAGACGTGACACCAGGAATTCTAGGAGCTCTGAATGTGCCCGTGGGAGTTTGTGCTGAATATGTCAGTGGCTCTGGAACTGGGGGGACATGGATACCTTTAAGGCAGTGGTTCTCAACCTTGGCTGCACATTAGAATCACCTGGGAATCTTTTTAAAATCCTGATTTCTGGGCCTCATCCTCCGGACATTCTGTTTCTTTGTTACTAACGTTGTGGCCCCAGCCCATAACAAAGAAACAGAATGTCCGGAGGATGAGGCCCAGAAATCAGGATTTTAAAAAGATTCCCAGGTGATTCTAATGTGCAGCCAAGGTTGAGAACCACTGCTTTAAGGGAATCAGTTTCCAGATCCTCAAATTCCAGAGGTACTCTTTCCTGAAAAGTCTGCTTGTTTGGATTCTTTAAGTTCTCCTTTTCAGTTCTGCTTCTGTTGTAGGCGGTGGGAACAGCGCCAGGTGTCTGACTGGGGGGGTCAGACCCAACCTGGGTTCAGGAACCTCGGTACTTGGGTTCTGGCTAGGAAAGAATTCAGAGCAAGACCCAAACTGAAAGAGAACATTTATTGAGTACATCTCAGAGGTAGGAGAAGTAATTCCTAGAGGAAAGGGGTGTAGAAAACAAGTTATGGAGGTAAAGGAAGAGCCCTTGGATCTTGGGAGTGGAAGCTAATGGTAATGTGCCTGGAGGGGGGGCAGGAAGGAAAGGGAAAGGCACTGGGTCTCCTAAGGGTTTGAGGGGCGGAGATTTTAGGGGAGGCCCCAGGAAAGATCTAAGAGAATATTCAGTCGCTTTCCAGATGTGTCCAATCAGGGTTGCAGTCTCCACTGATTGGCCTGCACCAGGGCAGGGGGTCTTTATTCTATGCAGCTGGTCCTGTCAGCTGTGGCTGGTTTTGTTGCTTATCTGGGCCTGGAGCTGAACTACAACTTGAGGCATAGATGCTATCTCTAGGGAGGAAAGGTCAGGGTGCCCAAACCGCATGACCAGCGATATGCCAGTGGAGGAAAAGCCACCCTGGGGGCGAGGTCCTGCCCTACAGTTGATTGTTGCTAGGTTCCTGGGGCTTTCCACCCTGGTGACCTTCTGCACCTGGCCCGCCATCCTTGCTCTGCTCATGTCTAACTGCCTACAATAATTCCATTGTTTTCCTTCTCTGGGTTTACTGGGTCCTTCCTGAATCTTTTTATGGTGAGTTGCTTGGGGATATAAAAAACCAAAAGGATAATTGGAGAATGCTCAGTTCCAGTGAGGGCAAGCAGAGAGAGATCAGGTAAAATAAACGAAGGTGTGGTGTCTTACTACTACAGGCTCTAGTATTTATTTATTTATTTTTAAAATATTTTTATTGAGTTTATTTATTTCAGACAGGAAGGGAGAGGGAGAGAGAGAGAAACATCAATAATGAGAGAGAATCATTGATCAGCTGCCTCCTGCACACCCCACACTGGGGATAGAGCCCGAAACCTGGGCATATGCCCTGACTGGGAATCGAACCCGTGACCTCCAGGTTCATAGGTCGAAGCTCAACCACTGAGCCACGCCGGCCAGGCTAGTATATATTTTTAAAAATACTTATTTGATGCTAATTATGTGCCAGACACTGTTCGAAAGACTTTACAAACTAATAAAATCATTTAATACTCATACCAGCTCTATAAAGTAGATACTTATTATCTTTCTTTGACAGATGAGGTTCCCAAGGCACCCAGAGGTTTAATAAGTCGCTCAAGGTCATAGAGCTCTTTAGTGGCAAAATCGGCGTTTGAACTCTCATACCTTCCCTTTAGCGTGTGTGCTCTGAACTGTTAGGCTACTCTCAACGCAAGTGCTTCAGCTCTCTATCTATGTATTGTAAAATTAGAATTGGGACCTGAGCTGGTTGTCATGGGGATGCAGATGAATTCATTTATAGAAATTGTTAAAAACGAAGGTGGATTGTCTTACCAGCAGAAAATGATGCTTGTTTGGCTGATTGGTTTGACAGTGAGGACTGGCTTTGACAGTTGGAGTCTATGGTAGACAAGTTCCATAAACTGAACATGCTAAGTCTGTAGCTCCAAGATTTGGATGAGACTATATTGAAAGCATGCCTCTAATAAAGGCTGTGCCAGAAGATTCCATCTTGGAACCTATTTTGACTTGTGAAAAATAATTTTAGTTATTCACTTAAAAATGTGTGAGAGGGCCCTGACCGGTTTGGCTCAGTGGATAGAGCATCGGCCTGCGGACTGAAGGGTCCCAGGTTCGATTCCAGTCAAGGGCATGTACCTTGTTGTGGGCACATCCCCAGTAGGAGGTGTGCAGGAGGCGGCTGATCGATGTTTCTCTCTCATCTGACTCTCTATTCCTCTCTCTTCTTCTCTGTAAAAAAATCAATAAATATATTTAAAAAATGTGTGAGAGGGTCATAGCTTTTTCAAAATGGTTATGGGGACTCATGAGCAAGAATTGGGAGGACTTCTGGTGTACAGCACATTATGAGCATCACTCACTAGCCACGTGCATCATGGTGGGCATGTGGATTCTGGTCAGGTGAGGTGGCGTGTCTTATCCACAGGTAAACAGGGGCAGAATTAGAGCAAGAACCAGGGTCTTCTGAATGCTGTAGTTTCAGTGCTCTTTCTATTATTCCATACTTCCTTCTCCCTTCACTCTTCATTTACTTGCTGGTTTATTAGGGAAGACTTCTTAGGGAGGTGCTATTGGTTACGAAAGAGCTAGCCTTGTGTAAATGTGTTGGGGTGGGTGTGAGGTATAGAGAAAGGGTTAGGCAGAGGAAACAGCAAGCCCAAAGACCCGCAGGCAGCAGAGAGCTTGGTGTGTTCCTGGGACAGAAAGGAGGCCCTGTGGTTGCAGCACAGAGATGCTGGGGGAGAGTGGTAAAATTCCACAAGGTAGAATTCCTGTAGGCAGGAGCTGGGCCATGCAGGACCTTATCAGCCATAGAAAGGATATTGTATTTATCTCGAAGACAATGGGAAACCATTGAAGGATTTTTAAGCAGAGAGTTGCTATATTTTGATTTGAGGTTGTGTTTTTGTTTTTTTAAAATATGTTTTTATGATTTCAGAAATGAAAGAAGAAAGAGAGAGAGAGAAACATTAATGATGAAAGAGTATCATTGGCTGGCTGGCTGCCTCCTGCACACCCCCCACTGGGGATGGAGCCTGCAACCTGGGCTTGTGCCCTGGCTGGGAATAGAACCAGGACCTCCTGGTTCATAGGTTGACGTTCAACCACGGAGCCATGCCAGCCGGGCGTGGTTTTGTTTTGTTTTGTTTTGTTTTGGAGGGGGGCAGGAGTGGAAACCCAGATGGAGACTACAATCTACTTAATGGAGGGTTACGAAGATGAACAATGTTAATGGGAAGGCAGAATGGTATGGGATGTCCTCCTGTCTTTTAGTGCTGATGAGGTGTGTTGGTAGCTATTGTATGACAAATCATGCCAAAATTTAGTAGCTTAAAACAACCACCATTTTATTTTGTCACTAGAGGCCCAGTGCACAAATTCGTACATGGCTGGGGTCCGGCTGGCCTGGCCCTAATCGGGGTGGATCTAGGCCAGGCCTGTTGGGAGGAGGAGATGGTGGGAGGTTGGCTGGCCAGCCTGACCCAATTGGGGCCTGATCAGGGCTGGACTGGCTGGGGAGAGAGGCCATGGGCGATTGGCTGGCGGGCCCCACCCCAATCGGAATGAGGGGGCCAAGTGGGGGCAGGGCTGGCCATGGGGAGGGGCTGTAGGCAGTGGGCCGGCGGGCCCTGCCCCGAATTGGGTGGGGGAGCCGATTGGGGGTCAGCGGTTGGGGGAGGGGCCATGGGAGGTTGGCCAGCCAGCCCCACCCCCTATTGGGGTATGGGGGTGATCAGGAGCAGGGCCGGCCAGGGGGAGGGGCTGTGGTCTGCAGGTGCAAGGAGGGCCGGCACCAGCAGCAGGTGCGAGTGTTGGGCGGGACTGTGGCACACTGGAGCAAAGAATTTTCAGTAACTACCAAAGGCTCACCCCAATGACAGCAACCGGTGCCGCGCCTTGGTCTGGCGCCCCAGCTCACCTGCTCCACCATCCCGCTGCTGCCGCCGCCCACCATGTTCTGCATGCGCCCCCTGGTGGTCAGTGGATGTCATAGCGACTGGTTGTTTGGTTGTTCTACTGTTCGGTCTATTTGCATATTAGGTTTTTTTAATATATATATATGTTTCTACATCAGTGTGTACTTTTATTACTATTTTCCATATTATAATAGGGTACAAAAACATATGTAATATCTTAAATAGCTTTGTGGGGAGGCATTGTGATGTGGTGGAGAGCCTAGGATTTGGCCTCAGAAAAATGGGTTAGTGCCACAGCTTTGCTGTGACTTGGTATGTAATCATGGGTGCCTCTTTTTGCCTTATTTGTTCATCTGTAAAAAGGGAATAATAATGATGTCTTTTTCATAGGGCCACTGGGAGGATCCATTAAATAGGATACCTGGCTGGGTAGCTCAGTCGGTTAGAATGTCATCCTGATACCCCAAGGTTGTGGGTTCGATCCCTAGTTGGGGCACATACAAGAAACAACCGATGAACACATAAGTAAGTGGAACAACAAATCGATCTTCCCTTTCCCTCCCTCTCTCTTTCCTTTGGTTTCTCTCACTCTAAAACAGCGGTTCTCAACCTGTGGGTCGCGACCCCTTTGGGGGTCAAACGACCCTTTCACAGGGGTCACCTAAGACCACCGGAAAACACATATATAATTACATATTGTTTCTGTGATTAATCACTATGCTTTAATTATGTTCAATTTGTAACAATGAAATTGGGGGTCACCACAACATGAGGAACTGTATTAAAGGGTCGTGGCATTAGGAAGGTTGAGAACCACTGCTCTAAAATCAAACAATAAAAAAGAAAATAGTAGAAGTGAGAGTGGTTCTGTAGCCTGGGAAGAGGAGGTATTGTGATTTTCTTAGAATGGGAGAGGGACACAAAAGCATTATTCTGCTGTGAGGCCTTGCACGTGACCAGGCCCTGTCCCCCTACCCTGCACCACAGCCACAGCGGAGGGGTTCCAAGGAAGAAGCTTCGCCATGCAGCGGGCATGCAGAGGCCTTAGGAGGCCGAGTGTCCTTACCTGAGCTGCCCTCACTATCGAGCCAAGAGTGCTTTGCTTCAGGAAGAAGGAAAACTTTTGGAAAAGAGGGTATTATTTTTTGTTTTTAAACCTTTTGCCTATTTATTCCAAGTGTATCCTCAGAGATGTAGCAAAAAGAAACAACCACAGCCACAAACCCATAATATTGAAAAGCTGGTTCTTAATTTCTGTAGCTAAAAAAGCACTCTTTCAGGCTATAACCACGGAGATTGCTGCAGGCTTCTGGAACTGGCATAATGATGGTTTGCCGTGTGATGAAGGAGGCTGTTAATCTTTGTGGTCCAGAAGCCCAATACGTGGCCTCTCCAATTACTTATGTTGCCTAGCAACACCACCCAAAGTCTCCACACCAGGCCCAGCTGGGCAGCAATTGGGTATACCCAGCCCAGCCTGTTGCCCAGCCTCCTGGGCGCCCCGGCCACATCAAGGCTGCACTCATCCTTGCCAGGGGCCTGCCTGGTACCAGTGAATGGGTGGGGCCAGCTGTTTCAAAAAAACAATTCAGATATTTAGAACCTACTTGTTGGCAGCGAGGAAAGCAGCACAAGCTAATGATCAAAACTCTCTTCGGCCAGAGAGGAGTTGTCTAAAGTGGTGGCCTTGCCAGCGCTCTTCTGGGTGAGGTGAAGAAGGGAAGGTGAGCCTGACTTAGTCCTTTGGGTTCCAGAGAGAAAAATCTTTTCCTTTCCTGGATGCCTGTCTCCATGTTGACTCCCCGTGGCAGCACTGGAAGTGGCGGGGATTCCCAGCCCCGTCCTCAGGGCTGGTGACCTGCCAGTTCTGTGGCTCCCATTTGGGAACTCCCAGGGTCTAGTCTGGTTCAGTTTGGGAAGCTGGAGGAAGAAGAGAGAGTTAGAGGGAAGGTTGGGATGGAAATAATCAAAGATGTACCAGTACACCTCTTTAATACTGGGTGTGTAGAAATCACGTGGTAGAGGAACACCCAGGGTCTCGGGGTCAAACGCCCTGGGCTCCTCTCCCAGCCCTCCCCTCAGGGGTCTGTGACCTTGTTCAAGTTCTCTGGAAGCCTGAGTTTTGTTATCCGTAAAATGGAGATGTTACTATCCTGCTGTACAAGGTTGTTGTGGAAATGAACGGAGAGAATGCTCATGAAGTGTTGAGCATGGAACCCGGCACATAGTGAATGCTCACTAATGTGACGACTTTTCTTTCATTTGATTCTTACAATAATCCTGTGAGACACGGAGGGGAGAGAGGAGCTCTGCTTTACAGCTGAGGAAACTGAGGCCCAGGGAAATTAAGTGTGGATGCTGGGAGTAGAACTCAGGTCTTTACAGTGCCAAGGACAAGGAACAGCGCTCCTCAAAGACGGGCCACAAACCCTTTTGTAGCCTTTACAGCATGGTGGCTCCACCCGTCTCCTCTGACAGCCTGATGATGGCAGAATGAGACTGTGGTGGGGGTGGGGGTGCGGTGTGTGCGCGAAGAGGAAAAGGTGATGAGAGATGCTTTTCAATATACAGTGATATGAGACTCTTAGTTAATGTGGTGTGGATAAAATTCCTCTTCCCCTTCTTCCCTCTTCCACCCTTTCTCCCTCCTCCACCCTTCCTCCCTTCCTTTTTTCCTTCTTCCTTTCTTCTTTCTAGTATTCTTTTCAATAAACGTTTTACTTATTTTGAAATAATTTTAGATTTACAGAAAGGTTTCAGAGGGTTTCTGTTTACCCTTTCTCAGATACAGGTGTTTTCTGAACACTTCCTGTACACCAGGAGCTTTTTGGGCACGAGGAATACAACAATAAAACCATCTCTTCCAGGGTATGTGCCATGGAGTGGGCCATAGAGAGCCTTGGCTTGTGGTTCTCAAAGGTGCTGCTGCCTCCACTTCACTGGTATACTTGTCAGGGATCTACTAAATCTACTAACTTAGGTTCTTCAGAGTGGGGCCCAGGAATCTGTATGAACAATAAATGTCTGAAGGGATTCTAAAACATAGCCAGTTTGGGGAACTACTGGTCTAGTGCAGACTGTTTACTGTGCATATGAGAGAATTGTTGCTTAGAGCTGAGAAGGGACTTGCTGCAGGTTACACCGCTGGGAAGTGGCAGAGGCTAGACCAGAAAACAGGTCTCCTGGTTCTGTGCTTTCCTTACACTATGTCTCCTAAATACAGAATAAGAAATGAGTTTAACTTGCCCCAGATAGAGTTTAGAAGAGTTCCTCGGCTGTTCAGATGTATTAGTCAGGTTCTTGGTTGCAAGGGAGAGAAACTGATTCTGGCTGATTGCACCAGTAAGTGAATTTTATTGAAAGCACATTGGATAGTAAAAGAAAAAAGTATTTCTCTATTTTTACTCACACTTCTGACACCAAATGTGTGAGTTTTCCACACCAAGCTATTCTGACACTAACTACCCCATAGGCTCAGTCCCATAAGACTTCTCCCCACTTCAGATACCAATTGCAAGTCTGGGCCCCCAGTACTTCTGACCAACTGACTGTAAATTAGGGTTTCTATGACCCCTCTTCAGGTTCAATAATTTGCTCATAGAACAGCTCATAGAACTTAGGAGAGGGCTTTACTTACTATTACCAGTTTATTGTAAAGGATACAACTCAGGAACAGCTTCATGGGAAAGGTGCACAGGGCAAGGTGTGTGAGAAGGGACATGAGGCTTCCACACTCTCTCTGGATGCACCTCCCTCCCAGCACCTTGATGTGTTCACCAACACGGAAGCTCTCTGAACCCCTTTATTTAGGGTTTTTGTGGAGGCTCCATTACATAGGCATGACTGATTAAATGTTGACCACTGGTGATTAAACTCAATCTTTAGCCCCTTTGCCTTCCCCAGAGGTTGGGGCTGAAAGTTCCAACTCTCTAATCATATGATTGTTTCCTGGCAACCAGCCCCCACTCCTCCAAGAGTCACTTTATTAGCATAAACGCAGGTAAGGTTAAAAGGGGCTTATTATAAATAACAAAGGTGTTCCTCTCACCCCTAACACTTTGAAAATTCCAAGGACGGGGCTGAAGGCCAAATATATATATTTCTTAGTATACCATAATTTTACAGGCAGATTACAAAAATCACGAGAAGGCTGCAGACACAAGCTGTGGGAACTAGGCAGAAACAGGGAGATCAGGCACCTAGAACTCTACAAAGATCCCATCACAGAGCCCGGTGGGTGAAGAGAGCCTCAGTGTTGCTGCTGTACGCTCATTGCCGCAGCCTTTGTCAAAGACACAGCTGGGACTGGATGCTGGAGACCACACTGGCCCCATTAGCGAGGTTGGACGCTGAACACTGCCGCCACCACTGGCTAGTCTTAGCTGCTTAGGGACCTGGAAAAGTGAGTATTTTTTTAAAAATATATTTTATTGATTTTTTACAGAGAGGAAGGGAGAGAGATAGAGAGTTAGAAACATCGATGAGAGAGAAACATCGACCAGCCGCCTCCTGCACACCTCCCACTGGGGATGTGCCCGCAACCAAGGCCCATGCCCTTGACCGGAATCGAACCTGGGACCCTTCAGTCCGCAGGCCGACGCTCCATCCACTGAGCCAAACCGGTCAGGGCAAAAAGTGAGTATTTTTAACTTACGCTTCTGTAATAGGAAGTGGTCCCTGCTGCCCACCAAGATTTATGAGATGAGGAATTCTCCGAGAAAAGTAACAAATGATCACTACATAAGTGTTATTAAAAGAGTACAAGTGCGAGTGCTCCACATTTGCAGGTTCATCACAGTTTCTGTAGTTCATTAGCTACTCTCAAAGGCCCATTGTAAGTGAGTGTGAATTGCAAGACTGGTTAAACCTGTGCCAGTCATTTACTAGTTAGTGAACCAGGCCTCCTGTTCCACCTTGACATCTCATGTGAGGTGACTTCACTATTTATTCTCTACTAGTGATAGCCTTCATGTAACCTGCATGTGGTGACCAAAATCTTTGCTTCTTGTTGCAGGAGTAGAAAAGACTCAGGAAAATAAATCAGTTACTAGTGCCAGTGATAAGCATGAAAACAAAGTGAAGAAGCCTGAGAAAGTGATTTTTTGGGGCCGCAAAGAAAAGTTCTGGATAAACTGGCATGGAATGTCAAGTTCAGTGTGTGTAGGATCTCTGATATCCAGAGATCTACCATGTGTGTCACATAGATGCAAGGAAAAATGCATTGGCTAGTGGCTTCAGTGAGTTTGTCAGCCAGTGCAGAAACAGCTCTTTGAGAGAGATTAAACCTTATGAAAAATGAAAAGATGTACCATTAACTAAGCAAGTTTCCTCTTTTAGTTTCTTCTTTGGGACCTCGGGTGCAAAGCATTGAACATGGTTAATACTCCTCACACAACAAATTTTATAAATAACGTTTCTTTTGCATTTATGGAATCAATTAGGGTCTGAAATGGAATCACTTAAAACTTTCTGGCTATAATTTACAACGTTCATTTGGGAGGCACTATATGAGATTTAGTGAATGACGACACCTTGAAGGGTCTTTGGAAAAATCCCCTGTTGATGTCAAGGGCCTCCTGTGTAGATCTCCTTATGGACACTTATATTTCCACAGATTAAAAAAATGGCAGACACCCATTCTGGGTAAAGGAGCACAGCCCTGCTCTTTCCAATCTTTGGCCAACACACTGACTCAGTGATTCACAACACAAGCAATGCTGCTGCCAGATAAGGCCGGGAAGTACGGAAGTTCTTTTCACTCTTCCGCTTCAGAAGAATACTAGCTAAGCCATGAAAGGAAGGTCTCTGGTTTTGGGGGTACAGGGGGGACATCTCCATTTTTAACCAGAAGGCTGTAAGTCTTTTATACTCCTCCAGAGCCATTCTTTCTAATGTCGATGTAAGACCTGTCCAAACTTGTAGAGAATTTTTATGAGTTTATTTGAGCCAAAATGATGACAATTTCTGGGAAGCAAAATCTCAATGAATTGAGAACATGCTCCAGAGAATGGCAATTTTGCAGCTTATTGTCTGCGTTAGAATCAAAGGGGGAGACAGAAGAGGTTTAAGACAGTACACAGGCTCACTGAAGGTAGAGATAGACTTTTGTCAAGGAAGCTACAGGCCTAGGACATGACTACAGTCATGACCCACTTTTAGTTCTGAATTTTTATGTTCAGATCATCCTATGCGGTTACATTCAATCTCTGAATTTATCAGGTCCACCATGCAGGTGTCTCCTGAGCTTGTCAGGTTTAGTATGTGGCTCTTTTTTTTTTTTTGTCTACATTAACAATCTACCCCAGTTGTTTCCTACTGGTAGGATGAGAACGTTTTGATCTGAGTGTGTGTGTGTGTATCTGTGTGTAAGAGATTTCATATATACATATTCTATCATCTATCTATCTATCATCTATCTATCTATCTATCTATCTATCTATCTATCTATCTATCTAAAAGGCTAAGTGACCGTCTGACTGGTAGCTTTGATGCATACTGACCATCAGGGGGCAGATGCTCAATGCAGGAGCTGCTGAGCTGTGGTGACTTGGCAGCGGCAGTTCTCAGGTAATGATGCACCTGGAACCAGAGAGGAGGGAGCCCAATTCTGGGGTGCATCACCTGAGAACCAGCCTCTTGCAATCCGGGACCCCTTGGGGGATGTTGGAGAGCTGGTTTTGGCCAGATTCCCGCAGGCCAGGTTGAGATTCCCCACCTGCCCTGCTGTTGGGACCTTGCTCACTCCACAGACGACCTTCAAGCTGTGGCCACCCCAGGTGCGGCCGGCTGAGGAGGGACTGCAAGAGGTTGGCTCCAGGTTTTGTCCGGCCCATCTTGCCCAGCCCCACCCCGCCGGCCACCTTCTAATGAATTTCCTTTCAATATGCACGAATCCATGCACCGGGGTACTATCTATCATCTATCTATCTATCTATCTATCTATCTATCTATCTATCTATCTGTAATAAAAGCCTAAGTGACTTTTACGGTGGAACGACCAGAATGATCGGTCACTATGATGCGCAATGACCACCAGGGGGCAGACGCTCAATGCAGGAGCTCCCACAGGGGGAGCACCGCTCAGCCAGAAACTGGGCTCACAGCTGGCTAGCGCAGCTGCGGTGGCAGGAGCTCTCCCACCCTCACAACAGTGCTAAGAAGCAGTGAGCTGAGCGGTAAGGAGCTGTGAGCAGTCGGGTGGTAAGGAGTGAAGGGTCCTGGACTGTGAGAGGGTGCAGTCTGGATTGAGGGGACCCCCCCCCAGTGCACGAATTTTATGCACTGGGCCTCTAGTGAGTGTGTGTGTGTGTGTGTGTGTGTGTGTATTTTTAAAATATGTTTATTGATTATAGAGAGAAAGGAAGGGAGAGAGATAGAGATAGAAACATTGATTAACTACCTCCTGCATGTCCTGACTGGGAATTGAACTGACCTCTTGGTTCATGGGTTGATGCTCAACCACTGAGCTATTTCATATAAGACTATATTTCATCAGCTAGGCTGATTTCGTATTTTTTAATCTTATTTTTATTTATTTTCAACTAAGCTGACACTCATTACTGTTTTATATTTGCTTTGGGCATACAGCGTAGTGGTTAGACATTTATATAACGTGATCCCCCTTGATGTATGTGTGTGAGGAATGGATCAGTTTTTTTCATTGTTGCCAATCTGATTAGTCATGTTTCCAAGGTAGTGAATTGTGCTGAGAAATTCAGGTGTGGGAGCAGAAGGTAAACAGGAGTGGGAAGAATAGCATGACAGGAAGCAGCACCCAGATGTTGGAGATAAGATGAAGCAGGGTGCTCCTGTTCTCGGGGAGCAGGCACAGACAGGTATGAAAATCAGAGCATGATAATGATTGACTGAGAAGAGAGGCAAAAACAAAATGTTGCAATCACTACCAATGCGCTCACCTGTTGCTAGAGCCTAAATTAGCTAGAACTATACAGCAGGTCCCTTTACTGTAGATGCCAAGGAAGACGGCAGACACACACTGAGTCTTGGTGAAACTGAATGGGTCAGGTATCTTTGCAGTCCAGGAAATATATTTCAGTAAAATACCTAAAATGGTGGGCTTGACGTTGTGAAATGTCTGGAAAGTTTGGAAATCTGGAGAAAAGAGAAAATTGGGGAGGAGGGAGTGTAATTCTCAATTTCCTAGCTCCTTTTATAGATATAAAGTTGTATTGTTAACAACGTAGAATTTTATTTCCTCATAATGTGATCATGTATGGTGCTTAAATTTACAATAGAACTTTTTAGTACAATGCGAATCATCCCTAATTGAACTTATTTTTTAAATGCTTTAACATTCATGGTTAATAGATGTGACAGTCCCCAACATCGTGCCGGATACCCAGTTGATAGTCATTAAATGACTTTTGATTCTGAATCAGAAACCTGAGAATAGAAGCAAGATGAAACTAAGAGGGGGAGAACCAAGATGGCGGCATAGGTTAACGCCGGAGTTTGCTGCTTTGAACAACTACTTCAAAAGTGAAACCAAAAAACGGAAGGGACATCACCCAGAACCACAGGAACGCTGGCTGAGTGGAAGTCCTACAACTAGGAGGAAAGAGAAACGCATACAGACACTCAGAGGAGGCGCAGTGCTGAAGTCAAATTCTGAGGTGCGGAGTGCGCGGAGCGGGCTGGCGGCGGAGGGCGCGGTTGGCGTTTTCAATCGGGAGGGAGTCGCAGACTCTGAGCTCCAGATCCGGGCGAGTCTTTAGGGACCCAGACTCAAACGGGAGAAGCGGGACTGTCTGGCTTCGGTCAGAGCGAGTGCAGCTTTCTCTCTGAGCTTTGCAGCGGGTGCTGGGACTCAGAGAGGCAGAGCCCCTGGGGACAGGACTGAGAGCCGCCATAACTGCTCTCTCCGGCCCACCCTGTTGATCCTGTTCTACCCGCCCCGCCCAAGCCCTGCACACAGGCATTTGCCGGATAGCCTCAGGCAAAGGCTAGATTAGCACCTCCCTAGAGGACAGAAGTTCTCTCACTACTGACACAGCTGATTCTCATAGCCACTTGGCCTAGAGGTCAAACCCTCCCTGGAATTAGCTACAACAATCAAGATTTAACTATAAGACTGCAAACAAAGACCACTAGGAGGTGCACCAAGGAAGCATAACAAAATGCGGAGACAAAGAAACAGGACAAAATTGTCAATGGAAGATATAGAGTTCAGAACCACACTTTTAAGGTCTCTTAAGAACTGTCTAGAAGCCGCCGATAAATGTAGTGAGATCCTCAAGAAATCTAATGAGACCCTTGATCTTATATTGGGGAACCAACTAGAAATTAAGCATACACGGACTGAAATAACGAATATTATACAGACTCCCGACAGCAGACCAGAGGAGCGCAAGAATCAAGTCAATGATTTGAAATGCGAGGAAGCAAAAAACACCCAACCGGAAAAGCAAAATGAAAAAAGAATCCAAAAATGCGAGGATAGTGTAAGGAGCCTCTGGGACAGCTTCAAGCGTACCAACATCAGAATTATAGGGGTGCCAGAAGATGAGAGAGACCAAGATATTGAAAACCTATTTGAAGAAATAATGACAGAAAACTTCCCCCACCTGGTGAAAGAAATGGACTTACAGGTCCAAGAAGCGCGGAGAACCCCAAACAAAAGGAATCCAAAGAGGACCACACCAAGACACATCATCATTAAAATGCCAAGAGCAAAAGACAAAGAGAGAATCTTAAAAACAGCAAGAGGAAGAAACTCAGTTACCTACAAGGGAATACCCATACGACTGTCAGCTGATTTCTCAACAGAAACTTTGCAGGCCAGAAGGGAGTGGCAAGAAATATTCAAAGTGATGAATACCAAGAACCTACAACCAAGATTACTTTATCCAGCAAAGCTATCATTCAGAATTGAAGGTCAGATAAAGAGCTTCACAGATAAGGAAAAGCTAAAGGAGTTCATCACCACCAAACCAGGATTATATGAAATGCTGAAAGGTATCCTTTAAGAAGAGGAAGAGGAAGAAAAAGGTAAAGATACAAATTATGAACAACAAATATGCGTCTATCAACAAGTGAATCTAAGAATCAAGTGAATAAATAATCTGATGAACAGAATGAACTGTTGATTATAATAGAATCAGGGACATAGAAAGGGAATGGACTGACTATTCCTGGGGGGGAAAGGGGTGTGGGAGATGCGGGAAGAGACTGGACAAAAATCGTGCACCTATGGATGAGGACAGTGGGTGGGGAGTGAGGGCGGAGGGTGGGGCGGGAACTGGGAGGAGGGGAGTTATGGGGGGAAAAAAAGAGCAACAAATGTAATAATCTGAACAATAAAGATTTAATTAAAAAAATAAAAAAAATAAAAAAAAAAAAAAAAAAAAAAAAAAAAAAAAGAAACTAAGAGGGGAAAGGAGATTGCTCGGTTAAGCTAGACGGAACTGAGGCCAGTTATGTATTGTGCATGATTTGGGCCCTGAGACACATTACCCTCAGGGCAAAGCTAATGGTGGACTTGAAAGTCCGTGGCAGAGGGGAAGGAAGGGCCAAAGTAGTGCTGCCATTCCAAGGCTCCAGTCCATCCCTTTGGGTGGTGGCAATAGATGCAACCAGAAGTGACCCCTGAGAGCGCTCTCCCCCTTTTGGGGAGACCCTAGCACTTTGTCACAATTACACGCTGATATGCATGCATATTCGGGCAACAGGTCTTCAGCTGCCTTGTATTAACATACAGGAAAGGCTTTGGAAACCAATGGTAATGTCCGAGAACCCAGGAAAGAACCACGGCCTTAAGACTACAGAGTCATCTGTTTTCCCTGACATTTATGTCCCTTTCAGGTGTAGGTAGGACCCAGGACAATGGCTGCTGCTGGGGATTTGCAGATGGAGGATGTGAATGTGGGAAGAGACGTGGAAGAAGAGCTGGAGGAAGAGAAGAAAATGAGAGAGGATGGGGAAGGTAAAGATCCCTTCAAGAATAAGAAGGTCCACAAGATGGTCTCAAAATGGATGCTTCCTGAACATGCCCGAAGTAGATACTTGGAGAGAGCTAACTGCCTCCCGCCCCCTGTGTTCATCATCTCTGTCAGCCTGGCTGAGGTAAATATGTTGGGCGGTGGGCACTAGTGCAAGTACCCGTGGGGAGCTGCAGACAGACTGGGGGTTTAGATGAGACGTAGATCAGAGACTAGGAAGCATGTAAGAAGAGAGTGAGGTGGTGGCAAGTATAGCACACACAGAACACAACCTCACCCTCTCCAGATCCCCCTTCCCAGGCTTTTCCTATGTTCCCAGTCACTTTCAGCCAAGCATTGACTTTTATTTTTCAAACAAGGCCCCTGCCCAGCAGTAACTACAATTTCAGTGGCTTCATTTCATTTTAGTTGGTGGAGGAAGTAGGATACGACCACCGTTAAATGGTCAGATACACGGCAGGAAAATTTAAATCTTGTCATCTTTTGAGCACATGGTATGAAGTGGCCAACTGGAGAGCTAACCATTGGAAACAAAGGTGGTGCCCATGGGCTTTAATGGGGCCTCTGTGGAAGGTGTGGTTAACATTCATGTCTGCCCTCCCTGACAGCTGGCAGTGTTTATTTACTATGCTGTGTGGAAGCCTCAGAAACAGTGGATCACCTTGGACACGGGCATCTTGGAGAGTCCATTTATCTACAATCCTAAGAAGAGGGAGGAGGCCTGGAGGTTTATCTCATACATGCTGGTACATGCTGGGTAAGGAATGATAGTTAGGTCACTGCTATTGGAGGTGACTAAAAGTCACTGTAACCCCTACCATTTGTTCAGAGCTTTATTACTGACTAGAGGTCCGGTGCATGGAATTCGTGAACTGGGGGGCGGGGGGGGGGATCCTCAGCCTGGCCTGTGCCCTCTCCCAGTCCGGGACCCGCCGGGGATCGGGCCTAAGCCGGCAGTTGGACATCCCTCTCGCAGTCTGGGACCCCTCGCTCCTTACCGCCTGCCTGCTTGCTGCTCCTTACCACTTGGCTCGCTGTTCCTTAGCGCTTCCGCGGAGGCAGGAGAGGCTCCCGCCACTGCCCGGCTTCTGGCTGAGTGGTGCTCCCCCTGTGGAAGCACACTGACCACCAGGGGGCAGCTCTTGTATTGAGCGTCTGCCCCCTGGTGGTCAGTGCGCATCATAGCGACCGGTCGTTCCATTCCGCCGGGTTGATTTGCATATTAGGGTTTTATTATATAGGATAAGGCACTTTCATGTCCATAATCTCGCATGATTATCACAGCACCCCTAGGAGGCAGGCGTTACTCCCACTGTTTTATGTTTGAGGCTGAGGGTAGGGGTGAGGGTCACTTGCTCCTTGTCACACAGCTAAGTTGTAGAGCTATGAAGGATCTCAATCCATTAGTGCTAAGTGCAGGTCCATTGTATTTCATATTACATTATAACTGCCTAATATTGGTATGTATATAGGAATATTAATGAGAAGAGATCAAATCATTACCAAACCAAAAGTATGTTCCCCTGGTTGTTTGGTGTTGTTGAATGTTCCCTTTAGGATATGAAGCATCACTCCCACTTTTTCTGCCCCACCACACGCTTAAAAAAATAATTCATGAACACTGATGAATGTATAATACTGTTATCCACCTGGAATAATATAAGCCACAGGAGCTGCAGTGCCTGGCTTTTAGTTTTGCTTATAGTTTCTTTTTTTTTCCTCTTTTTTAAAATATATTTTATTGATTTTTAAAAAAAAATATATTTTATTGATTTTTTTACAGAGAGGAAGGGAGAGAGATAGAGGGTTAGAAACATCGATGAGAGAGAAACATCGATCATCCTCCTCCTGCACACCTCCTACTGGGGATATGCCTGCAACCCAGGTACATGCCCTTGACCGGAATCGAACCCGGGACCCTTCAGTCTGCAGGCTGACGCTCCATCCACTGAGCCAAACCGGTTTCGGCAATATATTTTATTGATTTTTTACAGAGAGGAGGGGAGGAGAGAGGAATAGAGAGTTAGAAACATCGATGAGAGAGAAACATCGATCAGCTGCCTCCTGCACATTTCCTACTGGGAATGTGCCTGCAACTAAGGTACATGCCCTTGACCAGAATCGAACCTGGGACCCTTCAGTCCGCAGGCTGATGCTCTATCCACTGAGCCAAACTGGTTAGAGCTATAGTTTCTTTTTTAAAAAATTCTTGCCGAAACCGGTTTGGCTCAGTGGATGTGTTGGCTTGCGGACTGAAAGGTCCCAGGTTCGATTCTGGTCAGGGGCATGTACCTTGGTTGCGGGCACATCCCCAGTAGGAGATGTGCAGGAGGCAGCTGATCGATGTTTCTCTCTCATTGATGTTTCTAACTATCTCTCTCCCTTCCTCTCTGTAAAAAATCAATAAAATATATTTAAAAAAATTCTTTATTATTGAAAGTATTACATATGTCCTCTTTTCCCCCCGTTGTCCTCTCCCAGCCTGCCCCCGCCCCCCAGCCCCGGCCTTCACCCCTCCTCTCTCATTGTCTGTGCCCATTGGTTATGCCTACATGCACACAAGGTCTTTGGTTGATCTCTTCCTCACAAGTCTCCCCCGGCCCACCATCCCGCTTATAGTTTCTTAAGTGCTAATAGCCTTCTATGACCCCACTCAGAATCCACAATTCACCATGTCCACTGCAGACAGTGAACAGCGTGCTCTTGGCCCCACCTCTCTGGTGGCCCCACCTCTCTGGTGGCCCCACCTCTCTGGTGGCCCCACCTCTCTGGTGGCCCCACCTCTCTGGTGGCCCCACCTCTCTGGTGGCCCCACCTCTCTGGTGGCCCCACCTCTCTGGTGGCCCCGCCTCTCTGGTGGCCCCACATCTCTGGTGGCCCCACCTCTCTGGTGGCCCCACCTCTCTGGTGGCCCCACCTCTCTGGCGGCCCCACCTCTCTGGTGGCCCCACCTCTCTGGTGGCCCCACCTCTCTGGTGGCCCCACCTCTCTGGTGGCCCCACCTCTCTGGTGGCCCCACCTCTCTGGTGGCCCCACCTCTCTGGTGGCCCCACCTCTCTGGTGGGGTTGCAGGTGAGGCCGACTTTGTGTGAGAGACCTACATAGCCCTGAACCTGAAGGAAGACTCTGGCCTTTGGCCAGATAGGCATCCACGGCAGGACACGGGGCTCAGAGACTCGACAAGCCGGGCACAGAATCATCAACTGCTCAGGTCTGTGGACACTTCCACACTTCGGCTTTTCATTTAACAAGTATGTTCTGAGCATGTGTGGCTTCTGCACTCAATGGCTTTAAAATGACAAGGAAGCAGTTAACTGGTAACGCGAGGCAGTGTAGAATTATAGTGTATAGAAGTTACTTAATCTCTGCCGAAACCGGCTTGGCTCAGTGGATGGAGCGTCGGCCTGCGGACTGAGGGGTCCCAGGTTCGATTCCGGTCAGGGGCGTGTGCCTGGGCTGCGGGCACATCCCCAGTGGGAGATGTGCAGGAGGCGGCTGATCGATGTTTCTCTCCCATTGATGTTTCTAACTCTCTATCTCTCTCCCTTCCTCTCTGTAAAAAATCAATAAAATATATTAAAAAAAAAAAAAAAAAAGAAGTTACTTAATCTCTTGCATCTCAGTTTCCACATCGGTAAAATGGGATAACAGTACCTACCTCATAAGTTTGCTGTGATTTAATCAGACAATGGTTATAACATAATTTTTATAGTGCCTGACACATACTAACCACTCAAAAAGAATTTACAAGGCTGTGTAGGACATGTGACATATGGGGTTGCATAAGTGCTTTTATATGTAAGTAACAAAAATAACCTACCAGGGGCTTCAATAAGTAGAGGCCAATATTTTCCCATATAAAAAGCCCAGAGGTTGGTGGTTGGTTCATCAGTTTAATGAAGCCAGGACACTAGGTCCTGTGCTGGCACCTCTGCTTTTTCCTTGGCCTTTCCCTCATGGTTGCAAGTTGACTGGTGTTGTCTGCATTCAAAGCGGGAAGGGGGAAGAGGCAATACCAGGTACTGGTGAAATCATCCCTTTTGTCAAGACAGAAGCACTTGTAAGTCTCCTGGCTGTGCTGCTTTAACTTGCATCTCACTGGCCAGAGCTATGTGTCCCTACCTAAGAGGGGTTGGGAAAGGCAACCATAGCTCTTCCGGCCTCAGTAGAGGAGGTAGAGAAGGGAGAGGGAATGAGTGTTGGGTAAGCTACAGTAATATAAACGGAAAGAGGGAAAGATCAGAATGGGGATGGTTTCATACATAACATGGGTGCTAGTTGGCCCTTGAAGGTGGATAAAATTTGGAATAAAAAATTAATATTTCGTCCTAGCTGGTTTGGCTCAGTGGATAGAGCGTCGACCTGCGGACCAAAGGGTCCTGGGTTCGATTCCGGTCAAGGGCACATACCTTGGTAGCAGGCTCCTCCCCATCCCACGCTCTGGTCAGGGCTCGCGCAGGAGGCAACCAATTGCTTCTCTCACATGGATGTTTCTCTCTGTCTTTTCCTCCCCCACTCTCTAAAAATAAATGGAAAAATATTTTTGGGTGTGGATTAAAAAAAATATTTCTACTTTGGGAATATGACAGGATCCCATCTTTCTGCCACTTCTACTCTTGATGTTGAGCAGAAGAAAGAATACTTGGGGTAATTCATTGGGGTCTCTGTGCTATTAGTCATCTTATCTTCTAGCTGTTGCCAGAGGACAGGATGGTATGGCTTTCTTTGACCTTGTTCAGATTCACAAAGTGCATATACTTCCAAATCTCCTTTATGTCTGAGGTCTCCATAAGACTAGTGTAACTGCTATCGCTAGACAATTCTGTGCTGAGTTATGTTACCTCTCATATGTCTTTGAAGATGGCTTGGACAGTGATGGTTGTGGCTGGGTGTGCTTGTGGCCATAAAGGTAGGTTTTCTGTTCTGCTAGATATGCCCAGAGAACCTCTTCAATGGTCTAATGGATTTTTGTTAAGTAAATTATAATGTAGAACACAGTCCCTAAAACTAATGCAAAAGTTGTTGGACTTTGTGGAAGATCCAATATATATATATTTTACTTTTTGCTTTAATCTGAAATCTTAAAAAAAAAAAGAAAGGCATTGTGCTACATAGCAACTAAATTGACTAAATTGGTGAGTACGCTAATGTGGGAATTTATCAAATTACATTCAGAGATTATCCAGAAATGCTTGTGGGGTTTGACAAGCAAAATGATATGAAATGCATTTAAAAATATTTTTACTTATTTAAAAACTATAAAACACATGTACTCTAATGTGTTTAGCCAAATTGTGGTACATGGGAGATACCAACTTTAGCTAGGTAAACTTCCCCCCCTATTCTGGTTAGCTTTTATTTTTATTGATTTTAGAGAGGAAGGGAGAGGGAGAGAGTGATAGAAACATCAATGATGAGAGAGAATCATTGATTGCTGCCTCCTACATGTCCCCTACTGGGGATCGATCTTGCAGCCCAGGCATGTGCCCTTGACTGAAATCGAACCGGGGACCCTTCAGTCTGAAGGCTGGCGTTCTATTCACTGAGCCAAACCAGCTAGGGTCTCGTTAGCTTAAAAAAAACAAACTTTTTAAATGTAGACCTGGGAATGAAGTTCCTCTTGCCAGCTCTGTTTTATTAAAGAATATACTGAGATTGTAAGACACAATGCTTAAAAAACTACTGAAATTTAAACTCAGTATGAATGAATTAGGATTTCCTCCATACTGTGCAAGTGAAACAAAATCAAGTTCATGTTCTTTAGGCCAGCCTTATTGCTCTCTGATTTGATCAGTAATTGTTATAATAAAACAGACCTTGTAAAATAAAAGTATACTTCTAAAATGCCCCTTTATCTGCTAAAAAAATTAGAATTTGGAATTTGAGTTAAGCAAGTCCTTAACTGGAAACACCACCTCAATGCCTATCAATCTCCCAAGCAAGTAACTGCCTGTCTCAGACATAATGTTTGACAAATGTGTTTGTCTCTGCAGAGTTCAGCACATCTTGGGGAATCTTATTATGCAGCTCGCTTTGGGTATTCCCTTGGAAATGGTCCACAAAGGCCTCCGAGTGGGGCTGGTGTACCTGGCAGGAGTGATTGCAGGTTAGTGCTCTCAGGGCAACAAGAAATCAACACCTCCGGACTCTCAGGAGGTTATAAACAAAGTAAAGGTAATCAACTGTGTTAATGGGCTTTTTAATTAAGATGTATTCTTCTCCTAATAGGTGGTAGGAAACCTGATAGCATTGGAGATAAGTCAATTAGAGATAGTAGAGATAAGATAATCACATAGAAATGTCATTGTGAGTGCCCTGAGGTATGGCACAGACAGGGTTTTGCACATTTGGAAACTTTGAGTAGATTGGTGCCCAGGTGCATACACTGGGTAAAGGCCTACAGCCAGATCATGAAGGCCTTATGTGCTCCTGTAAAGATTTTGGGAAGTAACATGATCAAATTTGCATTTGAGAAAGATAACTTCAAGAGAATGTAGAGAATAGTTAAAGGGGTCTAAAGACTGAGTTGGTACTAGCAGCATACAGCAGCGACTTCTAAAATTGTGTGTGTGCCCAAGATGATTCATTATGGTGTGGGCAGAAACTACTAGAACTCCCATTCATCCATTAATTAGTTGTTGGAAACATTAAAAAAAAAATAAACTTTTCATCTTGAGATAATTATAGATTTATGCTTTAGTGTAAAAAATAAAAACCTAGAGGCCCATGTACCATTTAACCAGCTACCCCCAATGGTAACAGCTTGCAAAACTATAGTACAGTACCATCATCAGGATATCCACACTGATAGAGTCAAGGTACAAAACATTTCCAATACCATAAGCAATACTCTCTTCCTTCCCACTTGACACTCTCCTTTATCCCTGGCAACCACAAATCTATTCTCTATTTTTACAGAGGTGGGCAAAAGTAGGTTTACAACTGTAATACAAATAAATAGTCTATATATATAAAAGCCCAGCAATTGGAATGGCGGAATGACCAGAATGACTGGTGGCTATGACATGCACTGTAGCAGCCAACCAGCCTGATCTGGGCCCCGATTGGCTCCTCACCCCCCAGGCTGGCCTGGCCCTGATAGGTCCCCAGCACCCCAATTGGGGTTGGAGCTGGCTGCCAACCACCTGTGGCCCCTCCCCCTGGTCAGCCCCGCGCCCGATTGGCCCCTACCATGCAGATTGGGGGTGAGGCCGGCCGGCCAACTGCCCACAGCCCCTCCTCCCCACTGGCCCGGCTCAATGGGCTCCCGTCGGGGCGGGCCTGTCAGACCCCACCTGTGCACGAATTCGTGCACTGGGCCTCTAGTATAAGTAATAAATAAAAATACAAGAATAAACTATTTCATGTACTCAAAACTAAACCTACTTTTGCCCACCTCTGTATAATTTTCTCACTTCAAGAATGTTACATAAATGGAATAATATGGTAGCCTTTTGGGATTGGCCTTCTTCACTCAGCATAATTCTCTGGAGATTCATGTAGGTTGTTGCATGTATTAATAGTTCATTCATTTTTATTGCTGAATAGTAGTCTACCACCCACCCTTCAGTCACTGGATGTTATCTGGGTTATTTTTAGTTTTTGACCATTACAAATAAAGCTGCTATACACGTTTGTGTACATAAGCACAGAGTTTTGTGAAACATGAGTTTTTATTTCTCTAAGATAAATGTCCAAGAGCACAGATGCTGGGTTGCATGGCAGTTGCATATTTAGTTTTGTAAAAACCAGCCAACATGTTTTCCAGAATGGCTATTCCCTTTTATATTTCTCCCGGAATTGTATAAGTGATTCAGTTTTCTACATTCTTCCATGCACTCAGTGTTGTTACTATTTTTTATTTTGGTTGTGCTCATAAGACCATAATGTTATCTCTTCATAGTCTTAATTAGTATTTCTCTAGTGGCTAACGATGCTGAACATCTTCTCATATACTTATTTGCCATTTGTATCTCCTCTTTAGTGAAATTGTCTGTTCATGTCTTTTGCCCATTTTCTAATTAGATTTTTTTTCCTGTTGAAATTTTAGAGTTCTTTACATATTCTAGATCCTAGTCCTTTATTGAATATGTAGTTTACAGGTATTTTCTCTCAGTTTGTAGCTTGTCTTTTCAATGTCTTAAGGAGACATAGGTTTACAACTGTAATACAAATAAATAGTCTATATATATAAAAGCCCAGCAATTGGAATGGCGGAATGACCAGAATGACTCTGGTCATTCCAGAATGGTCAAAAACTAAACCTTCAAACATAAGGAGTTTTCACAGTGCAAAAGTTTTCAATTTTGATGAAGTCCAATTTATCAGGTTTTTTTGGTTTATGAATTGTTCTTTTGGTGTTAAGTCTAAGAACTCTTTACTGAGCCCTAGGTCTTGAATGTTTTCTCCTATGTTATCTTCTAAAGTTATAGTTTTATGTTTTACATTTAAATATGTGATCTATTTGAGTTTGTTAATTTTTATATAAATTTTGAGGTTTAGATTGAGGTCCTTTCTGTTTATTTGCATATGGATATACAATTACTCCAGAACAATCTGTTGAAAAGATTCTTCCTTTATTGAATTGCTTTTGCACCTTTGTCAAAAATCAGTTGGCTGTAGTTTTGTGTGACTGTTTCCGGGTCCTCATTTTGTACCACTGATCAATGTGTCCATCCCTCCATATAGTCAATACCACTGCTGCTATAGATTATAAGTCTTGAAATCAGTTAGAGTGATTCCTCTCATTTTATTCTCATTTTAAAAATTAGTTTATGCATTTTACTTTTACAAAAAGACGGTTATCTAATTTGCTGGCTTTTTGTCCCCCCTGTGATAATAAAAGGCTTATAGTAGTAAGCTATCTAACAGATGTTGAAAAAACAAACACCAAACGTGTCCCTTTGATGATGTTAATATCATTTTTCTCCTAAGGAATAAGAATGTAACTGCTTTTCCAAAAATAGTTGTGCTATGAAAGGGCATTTTGAAAACCGGTCATTGGAAATCACTTGATATTTATGCGATTTTGCTTCTGAAAATGATGCAACCACCCTTACAAGTTCACATTTAAAAAGCTAGGAAACAATTTCCTAATCTGTTTTAACATTTTTCAGTGAAGAGTTTTAGTGCATTTTAAACTTACTTACTGAAACACTTTACTAGTTTGCAAGAACTAATGACTGGCATTAGGGAAGGTGGGAATTAATAGCCAAAATTACAACAAAATTTTTGCATAACTGAAGCTCAGCCAGTGATGTAATTCTTCCATTTTAAATTACATGCCATTTAAAAAATGTTATATTTTGGCTATGACAGTGATTAAGAGAAAATTTCTATAGAAAAATATCTGAGTTTGGAAGTATATGTCCCCCCCTTATTCACAGGGAAGATGTTCCAAGATCCCCAGTGGGTGCCTCACATAGCGGATAGAGCCAAACCCTATTTGTACTGTTTTTTCTATACACACACACCTATGATAAACTTTAATTTATACATTAGGCGCAGTAAAAGATTAACAACAGTAACTAATAATGAAATAGAACAACTATAACAATGTTCTGTAATAAGAGTTATGAGAATGTGGTCTCTTTCAAAATATATTGTACTGTATGTACAGTGTGGAAATACTGGACAAAGGCATGATTCACATCCTGGGCTGGATGGAGCAGAATGGCATGAGATTTCATCATGTTATCCAGAATGGCACTCAATTGAAAACTTAAGAACTGTTTATTTCTGGAATTTTCCATTTAACATTTTTGAACTGTGGGTAACTGAAACTGTGGAAAGTGAAACCATGGATAAGGGGGGGACTACTGTATCTGTATTTCTGTGTCATGATATTTAACCAGGATTTTAAAAAATAGTGAAGCTTATTTAATAACTTCATTGAAACATTTTTAAAAAATTAAAGACATTTTAAATATATATATATGTATTTATTGATTTCAGAAAGGAAGGGAAAGGGATAGAGAAATAGAAACATCAATGATGAGAGAGAATCATTGATCTGTTCCCTCCTGCCCCACACTGGGGATTGAACCCACAACCCGGGCATGTGCCCTGGCTGGGAATTGAACTGGGACCTCCTGGTTCATAGGTTGATGCTCAACCACTGAGCCATGCCAGTTGGGCTAATGAAATTTTTTAGAGCAGTTTTAGGTTCACAGCAAAATTGAGGAAGGCACAAAGATTTCCCAAACACCCTGTCCCCTATACACATGCATAGCTTCCTCCATTATCAACATTTCCCAACAGAGTGGTACATCCTATATAATAAAAGCCTAATAGGCTAAGTGTCTGGTCAACCAATCAGCCATTCAACCAATCAAAGTGTAATATTCTAATGATATGCTCAACTGCTTGCTATGACATACACTGACCACCAGGGGGAAGATAGTCGACTGGTCGACCAGTGGAACAGTCACTATGCTGTGTATTGATCACTAGGGGCAGATGCTCCGACTGGTAGGTTAGCTTGCTGCTGGGGTCTGGCCGATTGGGACTGAGCAAGAAGGGTTGGACACACCCTGGAGCCTGGCCTTCGTCCCTTCCCGGCTGGCCAACCTCCCTTGTCTCTCCCAGGCCCTGATTGTGCACCAGTGGGGTCCCTTGGCCTGGCCTGCACCCTCTCGCAATCTGGGACTCCTTTGGGGATGTCAGAGAGCCGGTTTTGGCCCGATCCTGCAGGCCAGGCCGAGGGACCCCACTGCATGAATTCGTGCACTGGGCCTCTAGTTCCTTATAATTGATGAACTTACATTGACAGAACATAATCACCCAAGTCCATAAAATTAGCTTCACTCTTGGTGTGGTCCATTCTGTGGTTTTGGACAAATGTTGACATGTATCCATCCCAGTATTGCACAGAGTATTTTCACTGCCCTAAAATCTGTGCTCTACCTATTCATCCTTTCCCCCACCCACAACGCCTGGCAACCAATGATTTGTTTACTGCCTTTACTGTCTCCATAGTGTTGCCTTATAAGAATGTCATATAGTTGGAATCATATAGTATGTGGCCTTTTCGTATTGGCTTCCTTCACTTAGTAAAATGTATTTAAGTTTCCCCATGTCTTTACATGGCTCGATAAGCTTTTTAAA